GCTGTGTAAGCTGCGCCACCTTACTCTTGAGTAGTACTGCTACCGGAGTCAGGGGTGTTCTCTCAGGCGTTTGTGTGGAGAAATCCGATGCGCATGATGCCCGGCATTACTCTATGGACTGACTCCGGCTCGGAGCTGCCATCATCGTCAATGATCTACTGTGGACTACATTGCTGAAAGGAGTGGTGGCCGGCACGCTGGTTGCTTGTCCGTTTATGGGAGTGATGTGAATCAAAGGATATGGAGACAAAGACGCTGCAGCGCTGCTGGAACATCTGGCTCTCTGCTTTAGCCTAGAGGCGGAGCTTGATTTGGCTTGTTATGGTATGAGCGCAGCCATATTCACCTACGAGGGTGCTATAATAAGATTCACCAACTGCACAATTGTCTCCTTCAATCTATCGTACTGGCTTACGGGCCCACATAAACCTTTGACAACTGGAGGGACTCGACATGTGTAATAGATCAAAAGCGTCGACCGCTACGTTGCATTGCCTCACTTATTGGAGGACTCCAATATACCTTTAGGAGGGAACGACGAACTAATGCAACTTGAACACTGTAGCCCTATGTTGGGGAAGCTACCGCATCTCTCTGGCAAACACGCAGCGTTGCATAAGGTTTGGACTGATAACCATACTTTTCTGATCATGTACCGACCGTGAGGGTCAGTGCAACTTCAGGGGTTAGCATTAAGAGGATAATTAATGTCGGTCAAAAGTTGGTTGTCTATGCTCGCGCGGCCAAACGACTGGCGTGACAGGTGGGTCAAGTGATTGATCGGTGGAAATGGCTAGCCGACAAACCTGGAACACCAGCTGGATGCACGCGAAGCTGGGCGCGAAAGATGGGTAAACATTGGATCAAAAACTGTGCCGTAGCTGCTTTATACAACGACGCAAATGCGGGAGTCCGGGTTTATTAAAACTATAGTAGGTTGCTCTATAAAACACAGCAACACAGTAGATAAGTTACCCAAATAAGACAAGATTTTACGTGTAACTTTGAGCGCGAGAGCTGGGGAATCGTGGTTCACAGGATATACTTTCAAGTATGATCGCTTAGGAGGGAGCAAATCAGCGCGGTTCGAATGAGTGTAACCTGAATGAACTGCCAAAACATCAGGAACATGGAACTACACATTAACGAAGAACGTGAAACTGACGGGGCCGCACGGCTTTTTTTAACGCCGAATAAAGTTGTCAACAAAATAAGGAATAAAAGATATTCGGCGCAACGGATTGCCTACACTGTGCTCAATGCAACTTTTTGATTGAATCGAGTACAGATCGCATTGGTGACGCTTCCTCAGGTATATCTGTGCTTGGATTGGAAGCAAATTATATTCCAAACATTTGGCCCACATACGAATCATGCAGATAACGTCGGATCGAGGTAATAATTATTTAACACCATTGGATAATCGATGGCAGTCAAGGTTCATAAGGTGTATTTGCGAAAACCTACAGGAATCATATAGGATAATCAACCGACAGAGCTACCCACCCGCTCGGTTGCCGAAGCATCGGCACTTAGGCGGTTGAAACACACTCTTTAAATGGACCGCGTAAGTCGCCAGTCTCGCCTTGCATTCGGGATACTGGTGGCCACATTTCTTTAACATGAATGTCTGCTCGAGATAGACAGGACAGCTCCCAGGCGGAATAACATATACGCCAAGTTAAGGCTAAATAATGCATCTGACAGGTGTTTGATTGAACCCCACGAATTACCTATCGAATGAGATATTAGACTGTTAACGCTTTCACCTTCCCTCTCATTCTGCAAGTACGCAGGCAGCAAGAGTACTTACACTATTTCGTTAAAAAGTTAAATTAGACTGCACGCAGCTGGTTTTATAGGATTAGGGTTAGCAGCACCTGAGGGACAACCACACACTAGAAAAATGTAGGCTGGCTAGATGGTCGGTGGCAGGATACATGCTGATATATGTCATGGGGTAGAAGTGGAACAAAGGCCCGGTTAATTAGAGTGAGATTGAGGCCACGTACATATGGACGGATTTTGCTGTTATATTGAATGATGCGGAGCTCCGGATATCAGGTCATGTTTCACATGTTGTTGCACTATTATTCTACTGATTCTTCATCTGACGCCGGACAGAATCCGTTTACTTAGGCGAAGAAATCTGTCACCATAGCGGAGGTAGGGTACCCTAAATCAGCAAGTCGTAGAGCATGCAGTGCCTTTTCAATGCAACTTGGTCTGCTTTCTCAGACATTCCATCAGGATATTGAAAGCAATGACATTTCCAGAGGTAACTAATACCTCTACACTCTTGTACGCGAACGAGATTTTACTTTTGGGTCGTTAAACCCTCCCTTATATTGAGACCTGATCGAGGTATGTTTCGCTGTACAGATTTGGTGATTGCCACTTGTTGATGAGAAGGATGTTTACGTGTGTTAAGGGAGCCAGAACCACTTTGCTAGAAGCGCGAAACAGTTGACACCGACGCAGCCCGAAATTTATTGGCCAAGCCATGACAGCCGGCTAATGATGACGTGTCATCTTGGACTTAACCAAAAGGAATGGTCTAACTTGATGCCTGCTAGTGAACGCTAGGTCATTACCTTATAAATGATGGACGGGACCACGCTATTTCATTGGTTATATTGATTGCCGTGTGTTAAATATAGTTTTCGACAGAGGCCTTTGTCTTCTAACAGCTTGCTCACCAGCAACAAGTCATCCGCACATTTAGTGGAAACCATAACACTTTGACATTAGCGAATAATGTACAAGCGCAAGTCTGCAAGATGATGAGTTCTTCAGCTACGCACGGCAGACACGGTATCAAACAGAGGTAACCAATCGGCCTCTGATGGAGAGCAAAATGGAATGCAAAATCAACGTCATTTGCTTGGGCCATCCAGGCATTACCTGTTCCCCAACCTCGAACGAACATCTCATTTAGTTAGTTAAGTGCTATTTAAGACAGCGATTTCAAATCATTAAATCAATGCAGGATTCATCCCATTCCCTAATCCGTACGCGCTGTTAGACCATGTTCCGGAATTGCGCAGTGCCGCGAGTGCTTTCATCACGCCTCCGGACCTGTGTTCATTTCGCCTTGCATCTACATGTGTTTCAAAAGTCATGTCCGACTTTAGTCCGTTGTCCGGTGAACAAGGTGCAGGCCTTTGAGTGACAGGAGAGCACAGGAAATTACCAACTGTCCAATGGTAGATGTTGATCTGTCTAAGTTGTCCTCACCCGGCCACAGATGTGTGAATGACTGCATTGACGGCGGAATGCCAGAGCAGCTGGCCTGCATTCTAGTATTCGCAGAGGATCAATAACATATAAATCAATGACGCTCTTGGCCTTTCTCATCCTGTCTTAATCGCTCTGTCGACTAAAAGCGGAAACGGTGGCACGAACGTTCAGCTCTTAGACTGGTTTCCAATGAAATATTGACATGTCGAGTGCACACTGTAGCAGCCCAAGGCGATGAAACGAGTTTGCTTGAAATCTATGAACCAACTATTAGGGGGAACAAATCCGTAATGTTAAACATCTACCAAAAGAATAAATTCAGCATAGGCTTACGTTTCTCGTTGCGACCGCGTCAGGCTCGTACAGTTGTTTGCATGCAACAAAATAGGTAAACACACGATGTGGTCCGGTGTACTCCATGTGAGCGAACTCTGAAAATTGCTGTCCATCCGATGAGCAGAGCACCTTGTGTGTGGTTCAGCGGTTCCAAGATCACACTCTGTTCGGGACAAAGTAGCCGAACGAACCCTTCCCGAAGGAACGATTTCAGTCAGTAACATCGCATCTGGAGGGGATCAGGTACTTATAGGCCGCGTCAATCCATCATCATCCTCGTCCTCCTCCTCCTCCTCATCATCCTTATCGTCTTTATCACTACCACCGCCACCACCACCGCCACCATCATCATCATCATCATCATCATCACCATCATCACCATCGTCATCATCACAATCATCGTCATCAGCATCATCATCATTATCATCATCATAATCATCCTCGTCGTCTTCATCATCACCATCACCATCCTGATCATCAGCATCACTACCACGACCACCACCACCATCATCGTCGTCATTCTCATCATTATCATGGTAGTAGTGAACCATCACCTGATCCCTCACCTCCCTTGTCCAATGCTGACGTGCCTGGACCCATTGCACACTTAGACTAGCGGATGCCTGGGATCTATGTGGTGATGTCCCAACTACCGCCTACTTGAGTTTGGCCAAACGGGTGTCTCGCAACATACGTGACATGCTTCAGTTTAACCACTAACCGCTGGTATTAACGAGTAAAACAACCAATTATCGTTAGACCCCTCCCAAAGCGCGAGAGCTCATAGTGTATACTCGTTGCATATGCTATTGGCTGACTTAGGATTAGTGGTTTCTAACAGTCGGATCTACATGCGTGTGCACAGCACTGGGTACAATCTGATTTCCCTATGAACTAAACTGTATCCTTACGGAGGAACACGATTTCCTTAAGGAGGATTATGATGTCATTATGGATGCAAAGGTCTTCGAAATGGTAGAAATATTAAAATAGAAGCGATTGAGCTTCTCCCTAGTGAACTTGCCCTGGTATTCCAAGTTTACAATGTATGAAGCATTGACAGCATAGCATCAGAGGAGAGCGTAGGTTTAGATCAGGCCGCAGTTGAAATGTAGAAGGAACAAGCCAAGCTGGTTTGAGTCTGTCTGTCTATCCCAAAAATGATAAAAGATGTATGCTACTGACGAATTTCGACCTAACTTGACGGTACGTAAGGGCATACGAAAAGCGTGGACAGTGCAGCGAATTGGGACTGAAATGCCGGACCACAGACACCTTTTATTGGTCGAAATCAATTTGCTGTTATTCACCCCATAACTGCTTCCCTTGTAGATTGCGTCTGATTCAAGTTACTAGGCTATTTCTAAATGAACGAATGCAGTTATTTCACGGGGGTGAAACGGATCTGGTGAAAACTGACTTACTTCTGTGTATAATATCGTTTCTTTCATAGTATGGACGGATGTTGTACTGTTACGGTCGTAGAATCCGAACCACTAAAATTCACATTGGCAAGAGGATTAAACATGATTCGAACTGATTAAATTGCATTATCTGGCGGCTGAACGTGGCACATAAATGCGGATAAGTCCGGCACACGGTTGTTGAACTAATCGTGCAAACCTATTTCAACGAAGACAACCCATATTCTATACTTGTTCTGGTCATATCGGCACAAAAACCTCATAACAGCAGTGCGCTAAGACAAATGTCCATGTTAAAGTAACACAATAGTCCAACAGTACTTCATTGATCAAGGCTTACCTCGCTGATGTGTGGAACTAACACAGTGTCTTGCATAAATCGCACCAGTACGAGTGCTTTCACTCGTCGCAAGTTTAATCGATAGGTTTCGTTTACTCTCTGAAAATGAAATAACTGCCTTCAAGTAATTGTGTGACTTACCAACTCTTGATTTATATCCGTGAGAAAATGACATTTAGCGTAAAATTGGTCCATCTCAAATGGGTTGTTCCAGTATTGGGCTTGAACTAAGCTGAATATTTTAAAATAAATCCATGATGCTTGCTGCATGAGACTTGTGGTGCCACGAGGGAATTTATTGACTTAACTGATCCGAGTAAATGTGAGAGTACTAAATCATCAGGTGTGCGACAGTAATAGACAACAGAGATGTGCTAGGTTTTCGATCAAATTGAAAACGGGTGTGCGCAACGAGCGGCGTTCTTAGGGGAGCAGATCAAGAGCTCACTGAGCTTCGTGCGTCAAAACCCATGCACCCAGCGGCTATGGTATAGCCTGGATACGCCGCATGTATTAAACAAGCGGAATTCTAGACGCAACATACTCTGTACCCAACGTAGTTATAACGGGTGCATAAGCAGCTGGTGGTGCACCTACGGGCATTTGGATATACGTGCAATCAAGTGGAGCTTACTCGATTTTATGCAGAAACCCTCAACCATTAAGAATAATCGATTGAACGTGGGGCCGCATAACGATAGCTGCAGTGCGCCTGAACGCGTGTATGATAAGCATTTCAGAATTGATCCCTTCTTGTCGATGGGTTTGCTGCAGGAGAGTTGTGGAAGGTATGCTAAGTGATGCAACACTATACCTTTTCTCAGCCAAGTGAATCCATAGCGCTATCAAATTTCTCTTTAAGGAAATCCTGGTCCTCCATAGGTCCTTCAAGACGTTTCATAACGCTTTCAAGTTGAATCCAACAGACGCAAATACTCCTAGAAATTACGTGCTGTTCGTTGAGTGACCACTCTCTAGTAAGCAGATAGTATAACATAGGAGCACACATGGTGGGATGATATTGTCTGATTTGGATTTGGTCACTCAATGGACCGTGGCATTTAGAGGCGTTCAGATCCGCTGGATGCAATTCGAAGGCGTTAAGAACCATCTTGAGAGACCTATGAAGGAACATGATTTCCTTAAGGAGAATTTTGATAGAGTTATGGATTCAATTGGCTGAGAAAAGGTATAGTGCGTGATGGGTTCGGTGGTAAAGGTGAGGTTAGACTAGGAATACCATAATTGAAGCGATGATTGAAATAAATCTGTTTCTAACTCACTGTTTTTGGGCAAAATCAGAATAAGCAGCATACGAAAGAATCTTTTCCATCATGGAACAAAGGAATATAGGACCCATATCACGGCATTTTGGTACTCCGAACACGCCCATTTGTGGACCGCCGATTGAGATAATAGAGCCAAGTCTTTTGAATGGACATCTTTGAGCCAATGCTCTAACAAACAGGCCCCCTTGAGACAAGCCGATCATATGAACTCCCTCACTCATCATTGGATCTGCCAATAATTCATCGCAGACTTGATTGATTTGCTGGTCGATTGGCTTGAAATACGTGTCTTCCAGGTCCTGTAAAGTGACAATATAGTCAAATCATCTGACAAGGACGGGTAGTGCTGGTGTCGGGTATGCAGTTTGGTTGTTGTGACAAACAGCTGACTCTTACTGAATTGATGTGTAGATCCTCTGTATTGGCGAGTTAGTACATATTGCATATTACTCTATAAATCGAGGTGCAGCCCTCTTGCTAAAATGTGGTCACCGTAAGCACGAATGAGCCAAAAACAGCTCAACTTAACAATTAAAGTTTTCGAGAGGATAAAAATGGGTAGGATTCGACACTCGCAGTTGATAAAGTGCACAGATTTTCGTAATCTGCTGACAAGGAACAAAAGTGGTAGTGGATAGCCTTTCTTTCTCTGCTACAATCACGATAGACCAAACCAAAAACTGCTCCTTTTATGTTTCATGAACTACTGGTAAAGTAGTTCCCGCGAAGATTTCCACAGTGAAAGGAGCAAACTAAAGGAGAAAGAATGTGATCAGTACTTAGTTCAAAAAGTCCTATAAATATGGTGATAATGTATACTGATACCGACCATATTAGAAAGGAGAATATGAACAAGTACAAGATTCCCGATATCTAAATATAAACTGGGATTTAATAGCATGTCTAATGTTCACATCATAAAGTCCAATTGCGCAAGTTAGAAGCATTTGATGCGGCTCCCAAAATTTCATTTGATCAGAAGACAGAACTTTGAGAAACAGCATCCCTCGAAGTATTCGAACCTATGCATAGGTCAAGGATCTGAATAAAGCCGAAGTGGATTAAAAATGTCAAAAACTTAATATACAATGAATATTATGTGGTACAAGTAGGTGTGCGTTAAGCAAAAATAGTGAAGATAAAAATAGGTTAATATCAAAATGATAGGAGCTGTAAAGGGACGTCATACGCCTTAGGCACCGATGCCATGCCAGGATGGTGGCATGTACAGACACCAGGGCAACAAGGGGGAAATGGAGCTAGGGAGTAGGTAGCAAAGTTGAAAATGTGAGACACATCAGTCCTGAGACTCCAGGGCGAAGTCCAGACTAATTATGCCACTTGGAAGATGATGTGCGTTGTCAGGCAGCAGGATTGGGTTATCTCAGATTGTGAGAGGGATCGGAATAGAAAGTGATAAACGAATGAAAAAAGGCCTAATAAATGAAAGCATCATGTTCATCCGTCTGTTTGTAAATCTCCCTACAAAATTTGTGGTTTTTGCTGTTTCATCCATTGTGACACTTCCAACATCGATGTCCTCTTGTGTCATAGATGGTCCGGTCAGTCGTTTACCGTCGAGTTGAAATTTCATCATATGTGCTACCACTTCAATTGGCATGTAGCCTTTAATCAGTTTCTTGAACATAAACAAGTACACGATACAACTTCTTCTTTAGACAGACCATTCCACATATAACTGCAAGTAAAGAAACTAAAGCTCTATACTATATCAGTTGTGATTCTAATCAAGATGGATATGCATCTAAAGTCTCGTGTACCATATAAAAACTTTATTCGAAAGTTCGGCGGGTAATTTTTACTGTATGCTTTTCCCCACATTGGCTTGTAGGGGAAGCACAGAACGAAATTTACTCTGCGCAACCACCAAGGCTCAAAGTCACCAGTTAACACATGATCCCAAACTATTGCTTTGTTACACGAAAATTTGCATGTTAACTAAAATTTAGTGCACTGGCACATCTTGAGCGTAAGTGGTAAACAGAGAGGCTATTAGGAATAGCCAGGTCGCGAACCCAGGGTAATCTAGCATCAAATTGACATCCAGATGTTACGAGAACACAATTAGATATTAAAAACGTCACCCACCACATTGCAGCCCAGCTCTCCGTAGCTTTTAAATCACTCTGCATACTAGCCATTTTGGCTGCATAGTGAGAGGTTGGAAACGTTCAAACAGGCTTCAGCTAATGTTCAAATACATCAAGTTTGTCAAACATAGTAGCAGATATGAAATTATCCATGCACAACCCAATGAGTAAGAAGTGAAAGTTGCTTTGTTCCGTACCACATTAAAGCCGAGGGGATCCCATCAGAGCCAGAGCAAGTGGATGATCATAGAGAGATAAGCATACGTTCACCATGCGTACGCAAGGTCAAGAAAGAAAGGAAAGAAAGTCATCAGCGGTACGACGCAACGCGGAACCGACGCTTCGCTGCCGCGCTGGAGACTGTAATGTGCACGATATGGAAATGCCAGCAACCGACAGTACGCAGTTTAAAGCCTGCTTGCAATTGCTAGCCACCCTCTGTACAACCACGTAACCTCTCCCACCAGATTTCGAAATGCTAACAAGCCGTCGATAATGGACCATGTGCTCACTAACAAAGAACGGGATAGTTAGTTACAAGCACGCCACTGGGTCGTAGTGATCAGGTTACTCTACTCTGTGACTATATATGCAATGCGGAATATCCTGAAAAGGAGGATAGTAAAGTGCATACTATCACGCACTATAACGTGTTATCTACGCTTGTCAAGGATACATCTTGAACTTCCTTAACCGAATTCCCCCTAGATGTTGCCTGGAGAACCTTTACAAGGGCGTTTTGCACACTGGCAGCGCACGCATTGGAACAGAAGTCCTTCCAACCCAAAAACCAGCGTAAGTCATTTCTGAGGAGCCGAACACGTAAATGTATGTCCAGGAGGGATTTGGCATGGCGAGGTCACAAGGACTGACCGAATGCCAAAATCTAGTCTGCATACGTGACACATCGTAACTTCTGTGTAAAATTGATCCGCGAGGACAAGGTTACGCATCAGCAGGAGTTAATGGAGCGATTCTGCGCGAACCGCAAACTCCTGTACAAGCATGATAACGGACTTCGTAAGGGGAATGGCGGAATTCCAGCAATGGTCAGGGCTGATGGAAGCACGCGGTCAGCATTGGAAGCAGCCGATCTACGGCTTCATTACTCCCATACTTTCTAACAGGTAACGAGCCCAAATATTCGCCTCGTTTCTATTACTGCACCATCGCGATTAGACAATATCACCTTCACTGTGGAAGCTGGGTGTAAGTTGTTTTCTCTGCGCAGCCACAGTTCTCCTGGAATCGACAACATCCGACCAAAGGCTCTGCAGGCGGCAGCTAGTGATTTAGCAGAACCACTGGCTGTTTTCTATCAGCGATGTCTCGAAGCGAGCCAGATTCCACCAGTATCGAAGCGAGGGGTCGTCAGTCCTATCCATAAAGGAGGTTGTCGCATTGACCCCACCAACTACGTGCAATAACGCTACTTGCTGTACTATCCAAATTGACGGAATCAATCATGGCAGATGCGCTGATGCAGTATCTGGAAGGCCACAGCTTAATAGCCCCAGAGCAACATGGCTTTCGTCAAAAGTGTTTGTGTAATACCAACCTATTAATTGCACGTAATAGCTGGACTGAAGCTGTTTATGATGGAGCAAGAGTCGATGTCATCTACCTGGACTTAACCAAAGCGTTTGATCGCTTAGACCATCGAATTCTCCTTCACAAGCTTCGGAACTACGGCATTGGCGACCCGATCCTGAGTTGGATTAGCAATTTTCTAAACGAACGGCGGCTAGCGGTGAGAGTCCGAGAATCATCGTCCGATGCAATCGATGTGGTGCGTGGTGTACCACAAGGCTCGGTGCTTGGACCTCGTCTATTCTTGGTGTTCATTAATGATTTGGCAAGATCAATTGCTTTCGAGGTCCTATTTTTCGCGGTTGATAACAACATATGGCGAATGATCAGAGGAGCGGATGGCCACGAACGACTCCAGTGCGATCTTAACACGGTGTCGAACTGGTCAGTTCAAAACCCCCTGCCATTCAATGTAGACAAATGTCGCACTTTGCAAGTACACCATGGACATGAGTACACGGATTTGTTTGGGGCACACAGATTGCAAACCAGCTCCCAGGAACCTGATCTTGGTGTGCTCGTGCAGAATGACACCTGTTCAAAACAGGCTGAGGTAACCGCGAGAAGTGGCAACCGGCACGTCGGCATGCTGCTAAGGGCATTCAGGAGATTTGACCCATCAATCTTCCCAATGATGCACAATTCCTACGTGCGCCCGCATTTGGAATACACTATCCAAGCTTGGCAACCTTGGATGAAGCGTGGTCTAGAGGCATTAGTAGCACCACAACGAGTAGCAACGAAGAATGCAGAGGGCCTGAGAAATCACTCTTACCACCGAAGGCTGAAGTTGCTGGGAATTTGCAGCGGACGCTGTTGAAAACTGCGCGGAGATCTTAGCGTACTCAATACGGAGTGACCTTAACCACGTATGCTGCCATTTGGTGAAACTTAGCCGCAACTCGCAGCTCAGGGGTAAATGCTTGAGATTATGGGAACAATATAGCCGTCTAGAGTGTCAACGAAAGCATTTTTCCCTTCGGGTTTGCCAACCCTGGAAAGCACTCTCAGACTCGATTGTATCCTCCCCTAATTTGGAAGTTTTCAAAAAAGATTAAATGTTGCTCTTAGCTCGCAGCACTTTGTTACCTAAACTACGCTATTGTGGATTACGCCAATCATGCCTTTCAACAGGATTTATGTATCAAATGTACCCAAGTGAGCGACCATATTTCACTTTTCACACGCCTTATATCAACGACCACTGCACCCGGTGTATTTCTGCACGCTTACACACGAATTGTTTATTTTACACTGACGTTATTTATCGAAGCATTCACCTCGATAGACGCTCGATAGATGACCCACATATATTTTGATTTCATCGTATTCACGGCAACCACCGTAAGGGAGGTGTCAAGCATTTGTTTTTATCTCGTGATAAATCATTGTTCATTGTTACCACCGGTTGCACATGGGCTGAGGATACTGAAACGGTCGCCCTGCCCCTACGCAGGCACGAACCCGCGCCACAAGCTCGTTACCTCTAGGTCAATAGCTGATAACTTGTTCAAATACGTTTACCGAGGCTGATAAGTCCAACGGTTCCTTTTCACCGTTAAAGGATTCAGCAAAGTATGCGCTAATGGTTACAGCTA